CTTCCTTGTGAGTATTTCGATTTTCCTGACGGAGAGATTTTTCTTTTTCGAGATAAAAATCATATACATCAACGCGAAATTTCAAGGGCTATTGTACGATAAAAAATATTTAATTTTAACCCACGTCTTCATGTTGAAAATCGCAATTTTAGTACGAAGGCCTAAAAATACGAAAAACGCGAATAACTTCACCAAATCAAACGTAAACTCTTTGATTCATATACCATCGGAAAGAGCGTCAAAATCTGAAGAAAATGGTATGTTCAGAATTACGGCTTGATTTGATTTAACAGAGCTATGAGCAAAACAATACTTAAGAAAAATAAAAAGTCCTAAACTTTTGTCCACCACTGTAGTGCTATATTAAAATAATTTTTTCACAGTACCATGTCTCCCGGTGAACATTACTACCAGCATAAGTTGGATCTATAGTATTTCGACAAAATACAGCATACATATAATAAGACCTTCAGTCTAAAATGTTTCATATTGCCATGTAGTCTAGATTGATAGTACCGTTTGTTCTTGTGAATAAATTATTTTAAAGACTGACTTGTGTTTCTCAGTAATGAACGATATTTTGACAATTTTTTTGTTGAATAAATGATATCTTTTTCAGAAGTAAGTGGCCTTAAATCAAACTAAAAGCAAAGAAAACATCAGAGAGTCTCGACTACAACTGAAAGAAAGTCAAAAAACATTCTTCTGCTACTAAAAGTGATAATAACACGTCAAGTAGTATTATGAAACGATTTATTAAATCGAGCAAAACCCTAATATTAGAATGTAGACATCTAGCGTACCAAATCTTTTCATAGAACAGTGTGATGGCATTAAGTACACGACTCAATGAAAAAAGTTTCGTCAAGAGTTTTGGAGAAAAGAAAAGATTTAAAATGAAAAATATGCATCATCCTTGATACTACAAAGTCTCGAAACTAACTCTGATACACAAAGAAAATATTTATTGCAACTTGGGTAATCTTTATCTGGGCGGACGTAACAGAGTTTTGAAAATAAAATTTTATATAAATTGTCTCATTTGTATTGCCATATCTCTTATTGATTCAAACGAAATCTAATCGAAAATCTGAACGAAAACTTCCCATAAACTGACTACTATTGACAGAATTGAGACGAAGACTTTATAGGCTTTTCACGAATAAGATCACAATTTTTCAAATACTTCACATTACGTAGGGGGTCTAAGAGAATCTAAAAATGACCAAAAACGATCGCCGAAAGACTTTACAGGATCTGAAAATCTTTTCTATTTTAAATTTCGTTCGAATTCCTGAAGGTCTGAATATACATATCTTCCCTTTCCGTACTGAGAGAGCCGAAAAAATGCAAGAGACAAGTACGCGTTAACCGTACTTAACAACCGTTTAACCAACAACATTCAATCTACCTGAGGCATCGGAGAAACTCAACTATGAATTTCGATAGCCCGAAAAGAAACTCATGGATTATATATAGATTTGTCGTACTTTGGCTGCCACTACGATTCAGCCTACGTATGTTATCAACATATACATACTATAATCATACAACTAAACAATCACCAACACCGAACGACACACTTACGATAAGTCAATAGCCGAGCTATACTACGCCATGAAAGCCAACCTGATTATTGCCAACCGAAAATTCTAACCAATGTTTTGTAGTCAAGTATGATGAATAATAAGCTCCATTTGTTCTCTCGTTGAATAAAATCCTTCGACCTAAATCCATCCACTTCAATCCACACTTAGTCAAATGCCTGTCCTTCCAAACCGAGGATCTTTAAAGATCTTTATAGATTATTCCCATAATTTTCATGGACTCTCTCAACCCTTCCGTTACGCTTCGATATGAGAGATCTTTTCAACTCTCTCTGACTTTGCACCTATGCTTTCAAATATATCTTATAGCAATGCCATTGAATTAATAAATAGACTCCTTCAAGGATCATTCTGACTATGCCTCCATTTTCCCGTCTATGTCATACTCATAACGTTAAATTCAATAATAGAATTTTTAGAGGATCCTTTTGTTACTGCATCCCTATTTTGAGTTAGATCTTATAGTAACAGCGTTCACCTAATGAAGAATATCTTTGGAAGATGCTTATGAGACTGCGTGGGTTTCGATAAGTTTCATTAGTGGGATGTGAGTTTGTTGCGGAAAAAATATCTGAATATCTGATGAGTGCGCTTTTTGCTTCTGTGAGTGTTTGTTAGACGTTTTTTGGAGTTCGAGAAGATGATTCTGAAAGATGTGCTGAAGACGGTGGGATTTTTTTATGTTCTAAGCAGGAAACAAGCGGATTCTGGTAAATCCTTTGACAAATATGTTCTATCCGGTCTATCACTGAGTGATAACGTAGACCCACGTAAATAAATGTCGTTGGTGGGAATCCCCAGAATACTCAGTTTCTGCTCCAGAGATTTCCGACTGAAATATTGCTCCCACCTTTCTGGCGGATTTCCGGCCGGAAAGAAGGCGGAGTCTTCCGAAAGTCACCAAGGAAATTCACTGATTCTGCTCATTTCTGTTCGTTTCCTCAGATTGGAATCATCGATCTGGGCAGTAGTTGTTCTGCGAGCTTGTTATTGTTCTCTTGTAGATTGAGAAACAATACAAACAAGAGATGGAGTTCAACAGAAGAATTAGCTTCGAGATTTGTTTCAATGCGGTACTAAGCACAGTATTCATGTGTTACTTCGCGAGTTTACAGAACATATGTGAATTCGACATTTCAGCCCCAAACGGGCTACGCTAACAAACTGTTTTTTAACATTCATTTCTTCACCTTTAGAACGGAATACAAACTGCATAGGTTAGTTGTATAAATGGCGTAACAAAAAGTTGCACTATTTTAGATAATAAAAAATAATGTTAAATCAATGACTTTCTTACTTTCATACCATTCTTTTTGAATTATTAGTTGACTAATTTTCCTTCATCTGTTTTAATGAAGAGCTTTTCTTCTTCTTACAATGTTCTCATAATTATATTCTAATCTTCATGAACTATTTATAAGAACGACACGAGAATGATTTATATACTCCTAGGTCGATTGTTCCGACCACTGAATACTGCAGGAACCGACAGGAAAGATGCGGAGAAATCGCCGGAACATGGAAGCAGTATTCTAGCCGGAAACTTTCCGGATTTTTTCTCGATGATTTTCGGCCGATTCCTACCGGAAAGAACATGAATTGGCTGGAATGCACCGGAAAAAGTTCGACAATTTTTCCGTCGGAATACTGCTTCCACACTTCAGTAATTTCCGGTGCTATGCTTCTAATCTTTTTTACCAACAAATTGAGAAGAATGTCAAGAAGAATAGTTTTGATATTAAGAAACAAATGTTCGATTTTTTAAAATTTTTGTATAATGTTGGTGATGCTTGATTGAACATTTGATATTTTTATGATAGATATATAAATTAATGATCATTAGTTTTTCTTTACTTTAAGAACTTATCTCTCCTTGTCGATTCTGAATAATGGGATATGAAGATCTAATTGACGATTTATTTGACAGAATTAATAAAAATCAAGATGGAAAGTATGAATTAAGAATTGAAATGACATGAAAAATACATATACATATTTAGCATTGATAAAAAAGAATTTCGTGATTGGTTTTCAAATTCTAATAGTCAATTTGATCGATATCAACACAACTTTAGTTCTCACGATGCTTTACAATCGACGGCTGATAAATATTCTTCATATGGATATAGAGCAGCAGCTGATCGATGGACTTTTGATATGGCGATTCATACAATTTCTTTAGAGGAAACGAATGAACATCTTAGAAGATCGAATAGTGATCTTTTTATTGATTCTAATCCACGAATCATTCGACGAGGAGCAACTGAAGGTCCAGTAACACTAGAACAACGAGTTGTTGTTCGATATCTTCAACCACCACCTGTTCCAGAACCAGGAGTAATGAAACGAATTGTTTACGAATTTGATCTTACTAATCTTTTTATGATTTTAGCCTCTCATTATTAAAGAAGTGCGCCCATCACAGCCACCGCCACCTCCAACATTTGTTATACGCGAACATCCACGACCTCTTCCTTCACCACCTCCACTTATCTTACGTGAACGACCACCAACACCACCGCCATATATTCCCAGTGAAACAAGTTAAAAAAAAATTATATTACATAGATTAGATTGATCAATGTATTTTATTTTATAGAGATTCGTATCTTACCTCCTATACCCGTTCCACCACGATCAGTTGTTATCGAACGTTTTCCACCTCCTCCAGAAAAGCCACGTAAAAGAATTATCTTTATTTTTCTTTTTGTTTTTTTTTATTCTAGATCGTTGTTTTTTGCTATTTAGGTGATATTATAATTGAACGATGGATTCCATACGGACGTCAACCTGAACGTCGTACAATTGTTGAACATGCGTCTCCTGCTATTGATTATCCACGACCAACTCATATTGTTCTTGTTTATGACTCTGTTCCAACACGTATATATCGACGATTTGAAAAACGTGGTGTTACCCAAGAAAATCCTGACGCATATGTTGCTCGTTACGGTTCATCACTTTTAGATCCAGCAACACTTGTTCAAGAAGCTCGACGTGCTGGTGTTATTGAAGATATAGTAAACTTTTTTCAAAACAAAGTACCTTCAAAATAAGTTATATAAATTTTTTACTGTAGACGCCTCCGGTATCATCATCTTCAATATATAAAACGAAATACGGAACAGTTGTTGATTATGATCAGTCAGACGAAATAATCCAGCAAAATTTTTCATCATCACGTGTAATTACTGATGTTAAACGTGATGGACTGACATATCAAGAGGAATATCAATTACATACTTAAAACATTATTTAACTGAAACTTTTCCCTCTCCAATTGAAAGACATTGCATTTTTTTTGTAGTTTTTACAATAGAACATATAAATTATACAATAAAAGACAAAAAAAAAACAATAAACATTGATCAAAAACACTACTGATACTACTATCAACTGCAGCATGTTTTCTTGTATACCGTGTCGATGTTATTTTTAAACGAGCTGTTTACGTTTTATCATACCATAGATTGGCAAAATATCGTAAGTTATTATTTACAATGTGAATATTTTAATCAATATAATAAGCTTTTGGATATGTTATTTGACGTAGGTTAAGTTATCAGCCGATTCGAGTATTTCTAATCCGTATTCGCTCCGGAACTTGTTCGAAATAGAAGTCGACGAGCTCTATCCAACGCTATGCTCAGTTTTGCCATAGCCTAAAGTATACACTTTACGACCATAGATGGCGCTGTACAAACTCTGAAAATCATAGTTCGGGTTATGGAAATTCTGGACATAGTATTAGATAGAGCTCGTCGAGATGTACTTCGATCAAGAATACGATTTTTTGAATAAGTTTCTGAACGAATCCGGGACAGAAATACTCGAATCTGATGATAACTTTACCTAAGTTGTTATTTGATGATTTATTTCCACAAATCATCGATATGTTTTATCTTTGCTATTTAATATAAATATTTGTGTTTTTGGGATTAATATCATTTCATGAAGTTCACAAAGATTAAGAGAAAAATCTTCAATTTGATCTAATTTTCTGCCATATATATAATTGATAGTCTCGTCTGTAATTCAAACCAAACCACTAGTTTTGTAGAAACAAGACAAAAATTATCAAATACAATTGTTCGATATGGATCAAGTGTTACTCTTTTGACTACAATATTTAACAATCGATGTTTTTGTTGAACATGAAACACATACAGCGACTACATGATCGGCAATGATGGTGTCGAGAAACAATCAGTTTTGAACTGAAAGAATTATGACAAATTTGACGTGTTACGTCGATATTATAGAAACCCCTATAGGATCCCGAGTACCTAATTATTGTTCATCAGAACGGTGGCACGATTGATGAACTGAAATAGAGTAAAAAAACATAAATTTTTATTTTGTTTTTCGTTAAGAAAAAATTCGACACAAGTCGAGAAATGGTTATTAATTTATATTTGAACTGTTTCAATTAAAATGAGAGGATATCCCACCTAGGATTCTTAATTAAGCAAGACGGAGAGTGAGTGCTTCTTCCATTCTTTCCATAGTATTATATTTTCTGTCAACGTCTTGCAACGTTGCGATAACTTTGGAAAAAAGCATCGGATTTTCAAACACCATTCGTCTTTTTCTAGCAAAGAGTCCAATAGAAAAAAGTAGATAGTATAATTTCGATGTGAATAGGATTAGAGAATGTCTCGGAGAAGAGCTAAGCTGTTGATGGATCATCTGTTCTAAAAAATGACCGGATCACAGTAACTTCCTGAAAAATATCGATGATTTTGTACCTATCTTTCATTTGACTTTGCTTCCATATGATGGTCATTATCTGAATAATTTCTTTCAACGTGCACATATGCACATTGTTGACTATATCAGTTAACCACTAATTCAAAATTAATTTGTGAATAAAGGGTGTAAAATAAGTTTTGACCCCGTCTTGTAATATTCATTTCTCGCATATTGCTACATCGACCGAGACTGCTATTTGTAGTACACGCAAGGGAGAAAAGCGGATCCTGGAATCCATATAATCCACCAAAACCCGCTAGAATTCATCAGAATCTCAATGGATTCACTAGGGTTCATCAAAACTTATGATAACTAATCAACATCGATTAATGTTCTAAATATTCATCCAAGCAAGGAAATCTATGAGGAACAAATAATAAAGATGTATCATTGAAAATATGTTCCGGATGAATCGGCGCGATCATCCTCTGTTAATTTTACAGCTCTGACTAGTCTATTTTACAAAGGAACATGATTTGTTTGAATCCCTGCGGATCCACTTTAATGCATGGAAATAAACTAAAAGATGAAGATTTGCCCCTAAGATTTCTGAAAAGCAAGAAAAAGAAATTTTGAAAATTATGACTGATGAACGACGATAAATTTTTGAATATGTTAATAAATTGTGGGATTTACGGGATGGAATAGGATTCCTCAGTATTTAGATTTTTCATAATCCTTTCAGATTGTGATGAAAATTATTGGTTTCTGCTAAAATCGTGTGGACTTTAATACATAGTGTCGAAATTTCTTTAGAGAAAAACTCCGATGGTGCTGAGCTAGATCTCTGACATACTTGACAAGGGTCCTGCGCAGGTTCAACTTTTTTCTCGGACGAAATGTAAAACTCGAAAAAAAATGTGTACTCTAAAAGTTTTACAATGCTAACAATTCCAATGGGACTTAAATCAAGATCGTAAACAGTTTGTTACTATTTTCCAACCATGAAGCGTTTAGGAAGCTGTTGAATCTTGAGAAAATCGTGTAGTCACGAAACTTGAAAGTCTCGAGAAGATTCATAATACGATTCCGTTAGGATTCTGTACAGTATTACTCTGCAATCTAAAAAAGGAATTTGTTTACGAAAATGAGAATCGGTAGAAAAATGTGTATGCACGAAATAAAAATAATTTTGTTAGGATTAGCGCTAGATCTTATATGCAATCTCACCCTATTCTCATTGATTTTATGTGGAGATCTTGTGAAAATGTTAGATAATGACTAATGGAAAAAATATTTTCTGATTGCAACTGGCACGACTCCAGTGCGATTCTTTATTAGGGAGTGTGGGGTGTGTGGATGTGGATGTGGATGTGGGTGACTAAAAGAGAACCGAAACATACACCCACACTCTTTCGAGCCGTTTGAGGAACTCGGTTGAATCTGTTGATCACTTCATTAAAATGTTGGTCAATCCGAGCCATCAAAATTTTTGTCCTAGCAAGAATTCCTGACGTTGTCACGGAGACTCAATGAGAAAATAAATATTTTGTATGCAATTATAGGGTTTGGGTATGGGTATGAGCAAGGGAAAATTGTAGATCCACATCCACGAATAGAATCGGTGCAGAAAGTTTTTGGTGAATTCTTTCGGCAAATAACATCGCAATTTAATCTTGCATAAAATGAATCTTCATCGAAATGTCGCTATCAATGTTAATTTTCCACATATTATCTAGTATCATGTTTTTGACGTTTGTAATTGAAGCATGAGCAGGATTAAGTTGCAATACACATTGATCTGATGTAAAACATTTTGAATCAATACTCGATACCATTAAAGGTTATTGATCACCTAGTACTAGTTCAATAGATTGGTGTGAACGAAACTACATCGTAACAAACTGTATTGCTGAATTTTGGAATTGTATTTCAAGTTTAGTTCTGTGTTTCTTAGTTGCAATATTGTTCATTCGAGGTTTACATAATAATATTAAAAATCGATTTCTATTAATGTTTTTTCGTTTGGTATTGCTGGATTTGGCTCTGTTTAGTTTTATGGTACACTTGCAGATTTCGGTCAAATGGAAGATAAATTAGCGATGGTCTATTCAATGATTATTTGGTAGTCTATCCTCTTTAGAATGGACAAATTTAATAAAGTAAAAGACAAAACTTATGCATTTGACTTAGCAATTGTATTTGGAATATTTTATGCGGTTTTATGAACCTATTTACATAGTTTACAAACATTTGTCATCATATTTCAAGTATATTTTGCATTGATGGTGATATGAGAAATTGTTAAATTGCCTTTTGTACACCGACAAACACAACATCATACACACAGAATCATGTATTTAATAATAGTATGTGTTAGTTTAATAATTTCAGCATTGATAAGTTGAATCGTTGATCAACAATCGTATGAACAGTGTAGGTAGATTGAAGCCACAATCGCATGCTAGGTGACATGTAATTTCTGCTCTTCACTATCATTTTGGAATTGTATGCAGCGAAGCGATGCGTCTTTTAACGATAAAATATCAACAACATAAAATAAAGCGTGTCAAATCTTCTATGGAATTATTTCAACCGGATTATCATTTATAGATTATTCCGATGATGAGCGGATAAAAGAAGCAAAAAAGTAGTAGATTATGAATATAAATCGATGTATACTACTGTTCAAACAACTCGAATAATGAACTTCACTGTGTTTTGAATAGTTAAAAAATGAAAATAACTTGGATTTTAGATATTTAAAAGCCAAGTCTTTGAAACATTTTTTCTTAGGAAAATAAATGTGATAACCGTTTTTTATGATTTCGATCTTTGTATGAATCATTGGAATACTTGTTAAGGCTTTAAAAATTCTAAATGAAAATGATCACTGTTTTTCTTATAAATAACTAATTCACAGCATTTATTTTGGACTGGTAATTATTAATGCTCTTGATTATCAACAGGTAAATACGTAGAATCGAATTCTAGAAAGTTCTAGAAACAGTAACCAAGGATTTTGGATAGTTTGGAAATCAGGAGAAACATATATAATCAACAAGAGACAATCAAGAACATAATGAATAAAGTAGATGACATGAAAAAAACTGAATGAATTGTTTTGCTGATACAGTTTAAAAAAATGGTAGTACAAGTTTTTCTCTCCAACGACTTGGTTATTAAGAGAAGAATATTTACAACGCATCACCCATCGCCGTCAGACATATTGTTTAAATTTTTCTTTGCAATATCTCGAACGAAAGACGTAGTCGAGCATTATATGGTTGTCGGTATTTATTTCACTGATACCGAAGCCCTGATATTTAGAAAATAAAAGTTTCTGATTACTATTATTGAAGCATTAAAAACTTGATAAAATTCTTTTGATGTAACAAATGTCTTTATTACAAGACTTTTCCAAGAATAACAATTTTTGAATCGTTTCTAGTTGAATTGTTTAATTATAACATTTTATTTTAATATTTTTCTTTATATTTCAATCAAACGGATACAGAGCTAATTCAAATGTATCAGAAATATTCCAGATAGTTT